CCTTGAATCCTAAACTTGACTGAGAAGGATCAGAGAATGGAGGAACATGTTAAATTACACCAAGAGAATGCAATCAGCATGTCTGGGAATGTGAGGAAAATAAATAGCAAGAGAAAAAAGGGGGGAGGCTGGAACCTACAGATTAAAAGAAATATCAGCCATTGGTGATGTGTCAACTTTGGATCCTGATTTGAACAAAATTCACTGTATTAAATAAATGAGACAAGAAAAATTAAATATTACTTGGACATTTTACTAATAATTGTTGATACTTATTAAAAGTTACATTTTTTAAAAAGTCCTTATCCCTTAAAGATACATATTTACAGGATAAAATTAAAACAAATAAGACCTATATTACCCTCTCACAGAGACTAATTAAAATCTTCATTCCTAACAGCATCTAAAACAAAATGAGTACTCAGAAAATTCTTTTTTTTTTTGGCTATAACTTTATTTTGCTACTGTTGTTGAGAATATACACAGCAAAACATACAACAATTCAACAGTTTCTACAAGTACCATTTAGTGACACTGATTACATTCTTCAAGTTGTGCAACCGTTCTCACCCTCCTTTTCTGAGTTGTTCCTCTCCCATTAACATAAATTCACTGCCCGCTATGGTTCCAGTGAAAAAGAGGAAGACCCTCAAAGAGATGGATTGACACAGTGGCTGCAACAATGGGCTCAAGCATAACAACGATTATGAGGATGGCACAGGACCGGGCAGTGTTTCGTTCTGTTGTACATAGGGTGGCTATGAGTTGGAACTGACTTGATGGCACCTAACAATAACAACATACTGGTTCAATATTTAGTTTTTCGAGGAATCACCACACTGTTTTCCACATCAGGTGTACCATTTAGCATTCTCACTAGCAATGGATAAGGGTTCCAATTTCCCCACATCCTCGACAACATTTGTTATTTTCTGGGTTTTTTTGTTTTTTTTTTTAATCTTAGCTTTCCTTGCAGGAGTGAAATGGTATCTCACTGTGGTTTTGATTTGCATCTCTCTGATGGGTAATGACACTGAGCATCTTTTCATGTGTTTGGTGGCCATTTGAATGTCCTCTTTGATGAAATGTCTATTCAAGTCCTTTGCTCATTTTATGATTGGGTTATTGTCTTTTTGTTATCAAGTTGTCAAAGTTTTATATATATTTCAGTTATTAGATTCTTGTCAGATATATGGTTTCTTAAGGTGTTCTCCCAGTTGATAGCTTGTCTTGTCACTTTTTTGGTCAAGTCTTGATGAACAAAAGTTTTTCATTTTTATGAAGTCTCATTTATTTATTTTGTATTTTGCTGTTTGTGCTTTTGTTATTATATTTGATAATCCCTTATTTAAAGCTAAGCCTGACAGCATTGCCCCTGCTTTTTCTTCTAAGAAGTTTATGGTTTTAGTTTGCACATTTAGATCCTTAATCCATTTTGAATTTGTTTTTGTGTATGGTTTGTGAGGTGGATTCTGTTTCATTTTTCTGCATGTGGAAATCCAATTTTCCCAGCACTATTTATTGAAGAGACCCTTTTTTCCCCATTGAATGGATTAGCACCCTTTTCAAAAATCAGTTGACTATAGGCAGGTTTACATAGACCAAGAGGCAGTCATTCAAATGGAACGAGGGAATACTGGTGTGGTTTAAAGTCAGGAAAGGTATGCATCAGGGTTGTAATCCTTCACCATACCTATTCAATCTGTATGCTGAGCAAATAGTCTGAGAAGCTGGACTATATGAAGAAGAACGGGGCATCAGGATTGGAGGAAGACTCGTTAACAACCTGCATTATGCAGATGACACAACCTTGCTTGCTGAAAGTGAAGAGGACTTGAAGCACTTACTGATGAAGATCAAAGATCACAGCCTTCAGTATGGATTACACCTCAACATAAAGGAAACAAAAATCTTCACAATTGGACCAAAAAGCAACATCATGATAAATGGAGAAAAGATTGAAGTTGTCAAAGATTTCATTTTACTCGGACCCTCAATCGACACGGAAGCAGCAGTCAGAAAATCAAAAGACGCATTGCATTGGGCAAATCTCCTGCAAAAGATCTCTTTAAAGTGTTGAAAAGCAAAGATGTCACCTTGAAGGCTAAGGTGCGCCTGACCCAAGCCATGGTGTTTTCAATTGCCTTATATACATGTAAAAGCTGAATGTTGAATAAGGAAGACCAAAGAAGAATTGACACCTTTGAATTGTGGTGTTGGTGAAGAATATTGAATATACCACGGACTGCTAAAAGAACGAACAAATCTGTCTTGGAAGGAGTGTGACCAGAATGCTTCTTGGAAGCAAGAATGGCGAGACTACGTCTCACATATTTTGAACATGTTATCAGGAGGGATCAGTCCCTGCAGAAGGACATCATGCTTGGTAAAGTAGAAGGTCAGTGAAAAACAGGAAGACCTTCAACGAGGTGGATTGACACAGTGGCTTCAAGCATAATAACAATTGTGAGAATGGCACAGAACTGGACAGTGTTTCGCTCTGTCATGCATAGCGTTGCTATGAGTCAGAGTCGACTCAACGACACCTAACAACAATTCTTTTTCATTGCTCTGTGTGTCTATTGTTATACCAGTACCAGGCTGTCCTCAGAAAATTCTTAATTGACGAGTTCACTGTATATAAATTATACCACCATTTTTGAAAAAGCAACACCTTTATATTAGTTTGCCAAAACAACTGCTTCCGAAAGATGTAAATCTATTAAAATGAATATCAAGAAAAATACTTTGAATTGTTGGCAACCAATGTCACAAAACAATATGTGTATTGATTGTTTAATGAGAAATTAATTGGCTCTGTAAACTTTCACCTAAAGCACAATTAAAAAAAAAAAAAAATGAATGAGCTCACCTGCCCAGGGGCAAGGATGAGAAGGCAGGAGGGGACAGGAAAGCTGGATGAATGGAAATGGGAACCCAAGGTCAAGAAGGGGAGAGTATTGACACATCGTGGGGTTGGCAACCAATGTCACAAAACAATATGTGTATTAAATGTTTAATGAGAAACTAATTTACTCGGTAAACTTTAACCTAAAGCACAATTAAAAAAAGAAAAATACATCGAGCAACTAGTGGATGGGTGAAAAATTAGTATTTGATATAATGTTGTTGTTGTTAGGTGCCGTCCTATCAGTTCTGACTCATAGTGACCCCACGTACAACAGAACGAAACACTGCTGGGTCCTGCACCATCTGCATAATCATTGTTATGATTCAGCCCATAGTTGCAGTCACTGTGTCAGTCCATCTCTTTGAGGGTCTTCGTCTTCTCTCCTTCTACTTAACTAAGCATGATATCCTTCTCCAGGGACTGGTCTATCCTGATAACATGTCCAAAGTATGTGAGACAAAGTCTTGACATCCATGCTTCTAGCAGCATTCTGGCCGTACTTCTTCCAAGACAAATTTGTTCATTCTTCTGGCAGTCCACAATATATTCAATATTCTTTGCCAACACCATAATTAATATAATAGTCACAACCAAAGAGGAATTTCTTCCATTTACATCTTTTTCAACTATGATAGCCATTAAAACAAGTATTAATAAAACTTAACTTTGAATTACAATATCACAAAGTATTAAACCAAGATTTAAAAAAAATAATGAAGTATATGCCATCACATTGCCCTTAATGGTACTTTTATTGTAAGAGCAAAATAGTTTGTTGACCCTTTAATAAATTCAACAAAAATGTTGCATTTTTATTTCCTCTTTATTGCACATTATAAACTTTTAAAAATTTTTCACGATGTAGGTAGCATTAATGCAGTAGCACATGTATTTAATTTACTTGGGGTTGTATGAACAAAATTTTGATATTAATGGAATGATTAATTTAAAAAGTTTAGAGGCTAACTTGATTAAAGGAAGACCAGTGGGATTAGTGAGAATATTTAAAATCAATTTTGTTGCTTTCAGTAGTTAGTAACTATAAGTAGACTAATAATTATTGGGAAACATAGGTCTTTTAACCACTCTGGGCATGCTTGTTATTTAGTATATTCGTGTTAACATTACAGTCAGCTAATATTTATTGAATGCCTACTCTACGCCAGGTGCTAGTAAACATGTTAAATTCATGAGTTTTCTTTATCCTCACAACAAACCCATAATATCTCATACTATTTATTATCAAAATTGAGGAAACTGAGACATTCAGTGTTGAATGAAAGTTGCACAATATCACACAGCTCATATTTGTAGGGTCAGGATTTGAACCCAGCTCTTCACCATCACACTGTACTGATGGCCCTTGCCCAATTCACAAGGGAAAAAAATGTCAGGAAGACAGAATTTTCTAAATTTTAAGTTTTCCTGCCATAGAGTTTTCTTTAAAGCTTTGGCATATATTACATGTAGAAAATTAATATTAATATAAAATCTCAGAAGTAGCCAATCTTGAATATTTATCAGTGTATTATGGACACAAACTCAAAGTTGTGTTTTTATGTTATACATATTTTACTTGTAAGTTGTTACTGGTTTATATGATAGAAATAGATATAATCCACAAGTAACTAATCAAGTAAATTCCTTATGGCAGAAAAGAGAGAGAAATGAAAGCCTCGTATGAAAAATGGTACTTGAGTTTGTGCTTGAAGAATGGTTAGAATTTAGATTAAGAAGAGTGGAAAGAAGATGGCAGTAAACAAATATCTAGAAGCTAGAGGAAGCTTGAATTGTCCTGGAGTCAGCAACAAAGCCTGTGAAGTATAGTGGAAGTTGAACAGTGGAGAATGCAGTATATTTGAGAATGTATTGAATAAATTAAAAGCACAGTACCAGCCAGGCTGACAGAAAAAATTTCATAAAATGTCAAAGAGAATTACTTTTATTAAGTGTTAAAGCAGTATTTTGGTGTCTTTATTTTTGACGGAATCATTTTGCCTGATATAATCTGTTGGATTTAGTACCCCATTACATTTCATATAGGTAATTATATTCTGAAATCAATGTAAGCTTTTTTTTTTTAATGTAGGAATATTCCCTGGGCTATTGAAGGAATAAAGAAAGCAAGTGAATGGGTAAGAAGAACTGAAGGACAATATCCATCTATCTGCCAACGGCTTGAATTGGGTAAAGACTGGGACTCTGCCACTAAGCAGATATTGGGAATTCAACCCATAGACACCACGTCTCCTCTTTATGGAGTCCTTAATTACAGTCAAGGCTGAATCAAATGAAATTGTATTTTAAACTTTTTTAATGCTTTTATGTATAAAACAATCAAATATTAATAGATACCTTTAATGACATTTAACTTTAATTTTATTCAATGTATTCATTAGTCACTTTAAAATAAAATGGAAGCAGAATTGATTATTTTGAAGAACTAACCAGCAATAATAAAAGGAAATTACAATATTACCAAATTTGTGTGTTTAAATGTTTTAAGAATGGCCCTGGAAGCTTATTTTATTCTTCCTTTTGGGAGTCTATCAGGTAGCTGGCCCAGCTTGACTGAGTATTTTATATGATTTCTTTTTCTTGCCTTTCTTGAAGCCCTCGTGATGCAGTGGTTAAGAGCTACAGCTGCTAACCAAAAGGTCAGCAGTTCGCATCCACCAGCTGCTCCTTGGAAACCCTATGGGGCAGTTCTACTCTGTCCTATAGGGTTGCTGTGAGACCTCATTACCCTAGAGTTTGCAATATTCATTTGCAACCGATCAAAGACCCCTTTCAAATAATACTACACCGCTTGACAGCTAATACAAGTACCTCGTAACAGAGTATTCTCAATTTCTCCTTCTATCTCTTATACCATTGCTGTTATTTATTGCACTATCCACGAGCTATAAACACCCAACACCTTATTATTATTTGAACTGTTATCTGTTAGATCAGGTATGAATAAGTAAAATAAAGATCTTATTTTACCTTCATTTCTTCCTTATCTCTGAAGAACTTGTCATTTCTTGCAAGGCAGGTTACTGGAGACAAATTCCCTCAGTTTTTATTTGTCTGAGAAAGTCTTTATTTGTCCTTCAGTATTGAAGGATAATTTCACTGTATACAGAATTCTGGTGGTTGATGTTTTTTCTTTCAAAGTTTTAAGTATTTTACTCCACTCTCTTCTTGACTGCATGATTCCACTCTCTCCCCCCACCCAAACAGAGCCCCTGGCTTCTTTTAAGGTTTTCTCTTAGTCTTTGGTTTTCTGCAGTTTGAATATGATGTGCCTAGGGGTGTGTGTGTGTGTGTGTGTATATATTTAAATTGAACTTTAGATGAAGGTTTACAGAACAAACTACCTTCTCATTAAACAGTACATATATTGTTTTATGGCATTGGTTAACAACCCCATGGCATGTCAGTATTCTCCCTTCTCGACCTTGGGTTCCCTATTACCAGCTTTCCTGTCCTCTCCTGCCTTCTAGTCCTTGCCCCTGGGCTGGTGTGCCTTGTTAGTCTCATTTTGTCCTATAGGTCTGTCTAATCTTTGGCTAAAAGGTGAACCTCCGGAGTGACTTCATTACTGGGCTAAAAGAGTGTCCAGGGGCCATACTCTCGGGGTTTCTCCAGTCTCTTGTCAGGCGAGTAAGTTTGGTCTTTTTTATTGAGTTAGAATTTTGTTCTACATTTTTCTCCAGCTCTGTCCAGGACCTTCTGTTGTGATTCCTGTCAGAGCAGTCAGTGGTGGTAGCCAGGCACCACCTAGTTGTACTGGACTCAACCTGTTGGAGGCCATAGTAGTTGTGGTCTATTAGTCCTTTGGACTGATCTTTCCCTTGTGTCTTTAGTTTTCTTCATTTTCCCTTGCTCCGAAAGGAATGAGACCAATGCAGTATCTTAGATGGCCGCTCACAGGCTTTTAAGACCCCAGACGCTACTCACCAAAGTAGAATGTAGAACGTTTTCTTTGTAAACGACGTTACGCTAATTGAGCTAGATGTTCTCTGAGACCATGGTCCTCACAGCCCTTAGCCAAGTAATTCAGTTCCTAACGGAGTTTGGATTTGTCTATGGAGCTTCCATGATCTTACCCAGAACAACTTGTGCTGGCTTCCCCAGTATTGTGTACTGTCTTAGCTTCACCATAGTTACTACTTATCTATTCTCTATCTAGTGTTTTTCCACCCCCACCCCTCCCCTGCTTCTTTTTCTGTGTAAACCTTTTCATGAGATTTTATAGTAGTAGTCTCATACAGTGTTTGTCTTTTTATGATTGGCTTATTTCATTCCGCATAATGCCCTCCAGATTCATCTGTATTGTGAGATGCTTTGCAGATTCATCGTTCTTTATCCTTGCGTAGTATTCCATTGTGTGTATGTACCGTTGTTTATCCATTCATCTGTTGATGGATATGTATGTTGTTTCTATATTTTTTATTTAATATTTTATTGTACTTCAGGTGAAGGCTTACAGAACAAATAGTTTCTCATGTAACAGTAGCACACATGCTGTTTTATGACATTGGTT